TCAAGCCAAGGCTTCAATATATATTTTCATGGCCTCTTCCCAGTTCAGAAGGCTTATTTTCTCAGAAGGCTAGAGTCTTGCTCTGTAATAGTGTAATCAGGAGACACCTTAATCAATGAGCCACTTTATCTGGAGACCTGTTGAATGATCACTAGCTCTGGTGGCCCCCGCGTAAGGCTTTCTTCTCATATTTTGGGGCCCAATATGATGGAAGTCTTTGCCTATTTATATGTTTTCAGCTCGGTGTTTTCCAAATTTGAGATGAGGCTTCCCGGACCTTCTGAGAAAAAGTCCTGTGTGCTGGGACAGGCCGTGAGACCATATCGGAAGGCCTGGCCTGGCGCCAGCACTGACAGCTCTGTCTGGGGCAGAGTTTACGGCCTCTCTAGAGTGGGGAGTAGTCTTATTTTCCCTATTATTTAAGCAAGAAAATGTTTACAGAAGCCAGAATAGCAGAGTTAAAATTTTAAACAGCAGTTCTTACCAAGATGTAGGTTACTATGCTCCAATTCCAAATTTGGAAGACAAAGGACTGAAAAAAGTATAAATAGGGAGAGCTTCCTCCATGTTTTTGCTTAGACTTGCGAAACAATATTCCAGCAGTGGTTCTCAACCTGTGGGTCGCGACCCCTGAAAATACATCCTGCATATTAGATATTTACATTATGATTCATAACAGTAGCAAAATTACAGTTATGAAGTAGCAACGAAAATAATGTTATGGTTGGGGGTCACCACAACATGAGGAACTGTATTAAAGGGTCGCAGCATTAGGAAGGTTGAGAACCACTTAGAGCAGCGATTCTCAACCTGTGGGTCGCGACCCCTATGGCAGGGGTCGCTTAAGACTATCCTGCATATCAGATATTTACATTACGATTCATAACAGTAGCAACATTACAGTTATAAAGTAGCAACGAAAATAATTTTATGGTTGGGGGTCACACCATGAGGAACTTTATTAAAGGGCCAGAAGGTTGAGAACCACTGCCCCACAGGTGTAATAAAGGACTACAAAATTTGGCTTATTAAGGCATCTCACGTCAGCTCGCTGATTTACAATACAGTGGGGCCTTGACTTACGAGTTTAATTCGTTCTGAGACTGAGCTCGTTAAGGAGCTCGTTAACTCAAATTACTCTATCAACTCAATGCAAAAAATCGGCGAGAGACAGCTGGTATCTCAAAAAACTCGTTAGTCAGGACACTCGTAAGTCAAGGCCCCACTGTATAACATTTGTAGGTAAACCCCATCAATGTCACGTTCTCTCCATTTGTTCTCTTCCTTCCTAACGGAGCAGCCGTGGGCTGGCCTCTAACCAGTGCCCACTGGGCATGAGAGGCTCTTGCTTCTGGGCATGTTCCTGGATTTGCATCTTCATGCAAATGTGCAGTTTCCGGGACCCAGGCTTCCTGAGGCTCGGTTCCACATTGTTCTTTACCCAGTTCCTGCTTATTTTTGGAAAGTCACGCTGGAAAGGGCAAAATCCAATAATTACACAAAACACACTAAGGGCCAACTAGGTAAACACAGAGGAAGGCAGCACAGTGGGATGGATGCCACCTGCCACAGGTTGTATGCAAGTTGCCAGGCACACATGGAAGTCAGAGGCCCCGGGCCCTCCTGCTCCTACCATTGGGAATAAACCAGAACGCTGTCTGATTTCTGTCACCTAGGTTTGCTGTGGACTTTAAAATTGGCTCCAGTGACTCTGAGATTGCCTTCCACTTCAACCCTCGGTTTGAGAACGGCGGGTATGTGGTCTGTAACACCAAGCAGAAAGGGTGGTGGGGAACGGAGGAGAGGACGATGATGAATCCCTTCCACATGGGGAAGCCCTTTGAGATCCGCATCCTGGTGGAGAGCGCCATGTTCCAGGTGAGCAGGATTTTCCTCCCTCCTTCCCTCTCTCCCTCCCACTGCCTGTCCCCCTGCTCTATTGTAACCAGACAACCAAAGTGTCCAAGCTGCCTGTCACTACTTCAGCCAATTCAGCAGAGAC